TTCGACAAGCACTTAGTAACGCATAACTTTCCGTCCCCAGTAACGGTAACGGCGTTGCAACGGCGGGAAAAGTAATTAATTAGATTATTCCGTTACCCAAAAAAAAGAACGACGTTAGTAATGCCGTTATTTTAAACGGCGTTATTCCCATCAATGTCTAAACCTACTTGTTTTCATTAACATTTTGGACACGTGGTAAGCTGACATGAAAGCAGTCACTCTGTGGCTTTGGAGAACACATTTTATTACTTTTTTGTGTGATGATTATGATGAAACCACTTGAACAAGTAAGAAGTGAGCCAAACTTTACCTTTTCCAAATACAATCACGGTAGAATTTATAGCAAATGCACTTTATTGGCATCTTTAGTTACTGGATTAGTGATGGCTTCTAACCGGTAACGAGATTTTTATCAACTCTGCCCCAGGTCCTGCCCATGGAGTTCATTGTTCCAAACCTTTGGTTCAACCAGAATTTAGTGCTTTTCAATCAAAGTGTTCTTCACAAACAAAACTTTATATGCTAGAATCAACATTTTAACAACGATTAAACAATAAAAATCTATTGGAAAAATAGAAGTTTTTGTTTGTAAGGCTCTACTGTACATGACAAGACCAATGTGAAAAATATTTTCCAGGAAAATACAAAACATAAATTAAAAACTCTCAAATGTTTCTAATGAATTGGGTGCATCAACACACAAACTCACTGCTTTATATCACTAAACAGAAACATCAGTCACATTTGTTTATCAGTTGGCACAAATCCAACCTTTCAAACCAACACTTTTGATTCTTTGCTTTCTGGAACAAGAACAAACTTTTGATGATCACATCTTTTATGTAAGAAATATTTATTTTCTCTTTGACAGTTTACAGATTTTTCTCCCGAATTTGCATCATGTTTATTTAGACCACTGCTGTTTGTTTTTATTTGAAATTTTGTTTTTTAAACAGCTTAGAGGTTGTCTCAAAGGTTTTTATCCTAAAGACCAAAATGAGAGGCGACATGACGTCCAAAACAAAAGACATTAAAACACAAATAAAGTCATAAAAAAACAATATGCTTGTTTAAAGAAAAAAGTCTGAAGCCACGTTTTAAAGAGTGAGAACCTTATACGTAAAATAAATGTTTCATCCCCTCATAAATAAGATCTACTTTAAAAACAACCCCAATTAGATACATTCAGGGTAAAATGGTTTATCAAGCCTCTGACAGGCCGAAGAATCAACCTCACAGCAAAAATGATCCATCTGCTTCTCTAAATCCTCCTCCAAATGTGCAAAACAATCAAATTATAGACATAATACACTGTTTCTTGCGTTACGATTTTGTGATGCAATGTGAGAAACATAAACATTGATGTGAAAAAAGATCCTCCTGTAACAGTCACATGTACTGGCATAGACTCATAAAACAAGTCCAGACCATAATACAGCATGTTTCACAGAAGGAACTGAGCATTAATGTCATGAAAAATAAACATATATGTGGCTAGATTGAGATATGTTTCCAAATGCTTTCTCTTTTTACTGTTTAGATTTTAATTCAAGTGAAGTTCTTCCAATATTTCAGTTCAGGAACATGAAGATCAGCAGGTGTGAAAAAAACTGGGATGTTTTACTCTGAAAATGATGTTCTGACTTGGGATTGCTAGGAGACAGTTTTATTTTCTTTTAGTCACTTGAACTACATTTTTCTCTTTTGATGTTTAATCATTCATAAACATTGGAATCAGACTTTAGGGTTAGGGTTAGACTTTATGAAATCTTTTGTCTGGCTGACATAGTTTTAGGATTATGTAACAATGATCAAGTAGATAATTTTCTCCCCCTGGTCTAGTCTGAATCTTACATTTACTGTAAAAACTTCTGCAAATAGTTATCATTGTTGGAACTGTAGGTTCAGTATTACCTCTACTTGAAACACCTCTTTACAGAAGTTCATTTTCCTTTCTTTTCCTTGTCACACGTGAAACTTTGTCTTTGATCGAGTGACTTCCAAAGTAAAGTAAACTTGTTTGAACTTCCAAACGTTGCCCTCAGACATCTGAGAGATTTCTTGGCAGATCAGAGGACATTTTAAGGACATCTCTGGACATCTTTTGCAATGTCTCCTGACAGTTTGGGCCTGAGCGGATGTGCTGGTATGAAGATAAAGGAGCGCGTCCTGAAAGATCAGGCTGCTCTGTCTGGACCTCAGCTGGGGCTCATGGCATCAGAACACAGGCTGGGTTTGGCATTAATATGGATGTCCACCAGGCGCCTTGTCCTCTGCCTTTTTGCCTCTCTTTGTGTGCTGCCACGCTTCCCTGTGTGCCAGCGAATAGCATTAACAACATGGCAGCCACCTTCAGCTATGCCAAGGTCATTAATAAACATCCTCAGATGGTTCATAATGATTCCCTACAGTCAGATGCAGCGAGTGAAGAGTGTCAGGACGAGTTGTCACGGCGCACAGCTCTGTTTGCCTCACTGTTTACACAGCAGGTCCTCCACAACTTCACCGGTAGCAGAAGTCAACAAACTAACTCCAACCATCGCTTTAAAACTCCACCAGATAACAATTAGTTTGGTTTCGGTTGAAAGTTTTGCTTCCACTTCACTTTAAAACCTAAATAATCTTGGTTATCATGTGGCGACAAAACAGATATTCTAAAGCGATATCATGAAGTTGGAGGTTTTGGGTTTATCTTCTGAAATGAAATTGTTTTTAAACATTGTTCTTGAGAACACAATTTCATTATAACTGTTGAAATATTTTTAAGTCAGTTATTAAGAAAAAAGAAGTGTAACAAGTTAAAGCTGTTCTAATTAACACATTTGATTTATTGTTTTTAGTCATTTTAGAGGAGACCATACTGATGTTACTGAGCCAATCAGCTGTCTCCGTTTAATCCCACCTTACACCTGGATTGCTGAAATCCATTATTTACTTTTCTTTTTAATGTCTGAGCTAACGTTTAAATTTTTTTTTGCTTCATTACTTTTATTTGTTTTGTCTGGTTGTTGTAATCCTCATGTCAGGGCAGACTAATTTTATTACATCTTTTCAATGTTCCTAACCTTTTGACCTCTTGTAGAGCAAATCTTACTTCCTTTTTTGATTGAAACATGCACTAATTCTTCTTCAGAACAAACAAACCACTAAGCAGTCCCTATAATATTGAGCTGTTCGAATGAAAAAGAGTTCAACATTATTTCCTTCATTATCACATATAAACAACGCAAATATATTTTTATTGTTTTTCTTCCTTGTGTAAAACAGACAGTCAAAAATCATAGAATGAGCAAAAATAATAATAAAAATGTAAGAATGAGAAGAACAGAAGTGGGAATCGAACCAAAACTCACCAGGTTCAGGGTGAATTCCTGAGCCCTGCCCCTATATTAGTCAGCATCCGTACGGATATTCTGATGTTTCATCTGTGATTGCAACAATCTGAAACTCAAAAATTGGATTTCTTTTAATGTCTGGAAAAACGCACCATTACCAAACTGCAAAAATTAAATTCAGTTTATTTATACAGCGCCAGATCACGACAGGAGCCATCTCAGGGCTTTTCACGAAGAAAACATTCCAGTAAGACAGCAATAAGAAATTTGACAATTCTCCAGGATGAACTCACTTTGTTAATTTTTTGTTCATGCAAACAATAAAGGATCTTTCGAGGGGAAGATTTTTTTTGTTTCAGAATTGTATGCAATTGTTGTAATAAGAATAATGTTATATATATATATATATATATATATATATATATATATATATATATATATATATATATAATATTATCCTATTCTTCACAGTAACTAGAAATATAAAAATACTGCATTCTGGTAATTGTTGCTCTTTGAGATAAATTGAATCTGCTATCAAAGCCCCAGCTAATAAATCTTTTAAATGAGGTGAGTGATTTTGGTTTCTGTCTCGCTGTAAAACCAATTTACCTATGAACACAAATGAAGTAACCTGTACCAGCAATATCCGGCATTGTAAGTCTATGTCTTTCACATTTTGTTGGTCAGGAAATTAAAAGTAAGGAAATCAATGCCCTTAGATATCTAAATAAACACAGATGGACAAATTGTGTTTATTCAGCTCACTGAAGTAATTAAAATCAAACATGATTTGATGTAAACCATAAATTAAGATAAAAAACTGGTTCAGAGAGATAGAAAATCCAGGAATTACATGAACAAAAATCAGGTCTGCATATACACATATAATTAAAAAAAAAATCTCGGTTTACATTTAGATTTTTTTTGTCTGTTTTCACTAAAGTAAAGTGGAAGTGGGAGCTGTAAGTTTATTGTTTTATTTTATTTTAGACTTAGGTTTACTTTTGTCACTTATTGGATGTCTTGTTTTCCTTCAGTAAAAAAAAACCTTACTACCAAAAAAGCTAAACCTCAGGATTCCCCCATTTTGTTTCATCCTACAGATTATTGGGGTAAACTGATTTTAAATATTATAACTAAGCACTGGATACATTTATTCTGATTTGTATAAATGAAGTCATGTTATTTGCTATTTGTAATAAACTAAGACGTTTTTCTTTCTAATTCTGACACCATATATTAGGAATGTTATATAATTAAGGGATTGACAATTTTTTTTTGTTTTATTTTATTTGTCTCTTTACATTCAGAATAATCCAGTCATTGCCTTTTTAACCAGATATTCAGTAATATTATCTGAGTGGCATGTTGGTATACTGAGTTATTTTGTAAAAACACTAAAACAGACGTGGGATCAGTTTTGTGGCTCAGACTCTTTTTTTCCTAATCAGGGGAGTCCCTGTGTGTCTAGTCAGTCCTCCTCCCCTCTGGGTCCACCCTCCTTTCAAAGTGTTATTGATCAGAGATGGCGATAAGACAACAGACACACATTGATCTCTGTTTTCTTCACCATGTTTATCTCATATATTAACCGCCTCACAATCACTCACATGTCATATCACTGCACCTGAGAGCAGAGGATCCATGTCATTGATCAGCCGGATGAGTGGCTGCCTCGGCTGTCAGTCACCAGGATTGATGGAGCTGTTGTCCAGTGGAGGTAAAGGTCAGGCAGGGCGGGGCCTGGGGAAGTGAGGCTCCCCGTCTCGCTAATCGATTGGCTGTCTGGCGACATTAGCACCACTCTCCATCTCTTACCATTAGTTTAAAGTTTCTGCAGATTTTTAAATATCAGCTGTCGATTAGTGGAAACAAATGGAGGCAAAGTTCAACACCGGAGAGAATTTAAGCCTTTGTGTTTAACAGCATGGTTACATTGAGCAGAGGGAGAAAACGTGGGGAAATATGAAATTATCACTGAGCAGTTCAAAGCTAAAGCTGTTAATTTGTTTGGTTAAAGAGAGAAGTGGTGACAGAAAAGTAATTACATGAATGTTCAGACCACTGGAAAATGTCATTAAACAGCATTGTTTATTTTATCCTTCAGGTAAATGTCTCAAACGCTTTAATATTTAAGGCAGGGGTGTCAAACTCAAATTCACACTGGGCCGAAATGAAAATCTGCGATGAAGTTGCGCACCAAACTTAATATTTTTTGAAAAAGTGACAGCAAATTAGCACATTTTCTTTATTAACATATATGCAATTTTGAACCTTTTAATTTGGAAACAAACTCATTTTTGCATTAACACTGAATGTGGAATAACCAAATTAAACACGAGCAAGTCAATTTTAAATAAAGCACATCAGTGGTATTCATTACTTGTGGTATATTCAGCATTTTTTAAATCTATTCAGGATTTATGTTTTTTTGTTGTTTATTCATTTTTCTTATTATATATATATATATATATATATATATATATATATATATATATATATATATATATATATATATATATATATATATATATATCAGGTGATCTAGGTCTCAACCATTGCAATCAGCTGCTGCATGAACACCTGTTTCCAACTAGTGGCACAGCATAAGTTTGGTGGCATAACTGAAGCGTCAGCCCTTGTGTCTCAGCCCCTCCGGTGTGAAGACACTACTGGGTAAAGACACATGTCTACCTGCGCGTGTCCACAAAGCAGGTACACAGAGCAAACAAGCTCAACCCAGACGCTGCTCCATTGACTCCTAGCCAAATGTGCCATTGTCCTATACCTGGCTTCAGAGGAAGGTCACGCACAGCAAACCGCTTTCGCAAACTTCAAAACCTCCGCTCGCTAAAACCAACTTCCCCCGAAGACACCCACCTGTCTATGGGACTTTGGAACTGCCAATCGGCTGTAAGTAAGTAAGTAAAGTTTATTTATATTGCGCCTTTCACAGATATAAATCACAAAGTGCTGTACAACATGAGTAAAATCAGGGCAAATACCTCAAACCAATAAAAACATTATAAAAACAATAGCAGTGACAAATATAGTAACCAAAATCAGGAGAAAAATCAAAGTCAAGGGGTGAACAAGAACAAAGCCATCTTTTAGAATATTTAGCGGGGGAAAGCCTGGATGAAAAGGTGAGTTTTAAGATGTTTTTTGAAGACCTCTACAGATTTCAAGAGACAGAGATTTGAAGGCAGACTGTTCCAAAGTCTGGGGGCAATAGACTGAAAGGCCCTGTCCCCTTTGGTTTTTAGTCTGGTTCGAGGAACAGCCAGGAGGTTTTCAGATGTGGATCTAAGGTTCCGTGAAGTGGTGTGTGGGGATAAAAGCTCAGATAAATAGCTTGGAGCCTGGTTGTTAAGAGCTCTATAGGTCAGCACAAAAACTTTAAACTGTATTCTAAATTCTACCGGGAGCCAGTGGAGGGACTGTAAAACTGGGGTGATGTGAGCTTGTCTGCTGGATTTGGTTTGGAGTCTGGCTGCTGCATTTTGGATGGCTTGAAGGCGTGAGAGGGAGGTTTTGCTGAGACCAGTAAAAAGAGCGTTGCAATAGTCTAAGCGTGATGATACAAAGGCATGGATGATTTTTTTCCAGATCTGCAGTAGAAACCAGTTTACGGACTTTTGACATGTTTCTCAGTTGGAAGAAACAAGAGCGGGGGATGGTTTTGACGTGTGAGTCTAAACTCAAAGCTGGATCAAAAATAACTCCCAGGTTTCTAATGTTGGCCTTGGCTGATGGGCAAACGGAGGCAACTTCCTGCTCGATTTTTGGTTGAATTTCCGGGGGTGCAGAGATCAGGGTCTCTGTCTTGTCGGCGTTGAGAACAAGAAAGTTGCTGGACAGCCAGTTACTGATCTGGGTCAGGCAGAGTACAAGGGTGGCCAGCCTGTCCAACTGGTGTGGCATGAAGGACATATAGAGCTGTATATCGTCAGCGTAGATGTGGTAGGAGATGTCTGGGAAAGATTGAATGATGCCAGCTAGAGGAAGAATATAGAATGTGAATAGTAGAGGCCCTGGAACTGAACCTTGTGGAACACCGCATGTTAGAGAGACAGTGTCTGAAGAGAAGGTTTCTGACTTCACTGTGAATGTTCTGTTTGTGAGATAGGAAGAGAGCCAGTCTAGAGCAGAATCTGAAATCCCAGCCAGGGCATTTAACCTGTTTAGTAGTACGTTGTGGTCTACAGTGTCAAAAGCTGCACTGAGGTCAAGCAGGACCATGACAAAGCATTTCCCAGCATCAGCAGCCATCAGGAGGTCATTATGCACCCTTAATAGAGCAGTCTTGGTTGAGTGCTGCTTCAGAAAGCCAGATTGGAAGGGGTCAGAGATCTTTGACTTGGAAAACCAGGATCTGAGTTGGGTTTCCACAACCTTCTCAAGTACTTTACTGATGAAAGGTAGTTTAGGAATGGGCCTAAAGTTACTGGTGGAGCTGGCGTCAAGGTTGGGTTTCTTTAAGAGAGGAGTCACTACTGCATTTTTAAAGTAAGATGGAACACAGCCTTGGCTCAGTGAGCTGTTGATCATAGTCAACAGAGATGGACTGTTGAAGGCAACGGACCCGACTAAGACAGAGGGAGGTAAGATTTCTGATGAGCATGATGAGAGCTTCATCTGACTGATTATTGAGGCTAAGTCATTTAGTGTAATTGGGGAGAAGGAGGTGAAAGACTCGGAGCACTGGGGGGGCCTCCCCTCCTGGGGGGGTTGGGGGGGGGGGGGGGGGTTGGTGGATCTCAGATTCAGCACCTTGTTGGCAAAAAAGTGGAGAAAGGTGTTACAATCATAAACGATGCTGGAGATGGTATCAAACAAAACCTTAGGATTATTTTTATTTTGACATATGAGGTTGCTGAAGAAAGAAGACCTGGCATTTTCTACAGCTTTGTTGTATGACTCTAGAATTTCTTTAAAATATTCGCAATGAACAACCAAACCTGTCCTCTTCCACCGTCGTTCCGCTTTTCTATAGGAGCGTCTAAGATCAAGAATCTGGTTGTTCAGCCAGGGTGAACTGGAGGCACTGGAACTGCGGCTGGTTTTGTAAGGGGCGACCTGATCTAGAATTTTGAGGCAGTGATCATTAAATGAGTTGGTAAGGAGCTCTACGTCATCAGAGGAAGGAGGTACAAAGTCAAAGAGGGAGGAGAAATTTAAAATGGTAGAACTGTTGATAATACGTCATTGCTTGGCAGAGTCTGGTAAAAGAGATTCAGAATTTAGGTTAATATGAAAAGAAACTGACTTATGGTCACTGAACACAACATCATTTATCTGCAGTTTATCAACAAGAAGTCCGTAGGAAAAGACCAGATCCAGGGTGTGGCCTGCTCTGTGAGTGGGACCAGACACGTGTAGAGAGATGTTAAGAGTTCATCATGTTTAGGAACTCCCTGGTAGAGCTGTTAGATAGATCCTCAGCATGGATGTTGAAATCTCCAACAATGGTTATCTTGTCTAGTTTAATAGTCGAAGATAGGAGATCCTGAAAGTCAGACTGGAAGGATGAAGTAGACAAAAGCAGACTTCATTACCGCATATGCAAACCACCTGTCACTTGATGCACTGGCTCTCACAGAGACCTGGATCAAACCATGTGACAATGCTACCCCATCTGCTCTCTCTATTAACCACACATTCTCCCACACTTCTCGTGCATCTGGCCGAGGTGGTGGAACGGGCATGTTAATTTCCAACAAATGGATATACAGTCAGTTGCTACACATCACTAAATACATCTCCTTTGAATACCATGCCATCCAGGTAACTACCGAAAAATATTCTTTTTGGTTGTCATATATTGCCAACCAGGTCAACTCGTAGACTTTCTTGATGAGCTCGACACCCTGCTCTCCTCCATTCCTGAGCACGACTATCCCACAATGGTCCTTGGAGACATGAATATTCACCTGGACAATCCCAGCTCATCAGGCTTCCTGTCACTAATGTCATCATTCGATCTAAAACTAGTACAAAGTCCTCAAACTCTCAAAGCTGGAAAAGCACTTGACCTCATTTTCACCAGAAACTGTGTCATAGACACAATCTCTGTCACACCGCTGCATCTTTCCGGTCATTACTTCATCCATTTCAGCACGACTCTACAAGGGAGGTCTACTGCTTCCTCCCCAATGGTCTCATTCTGCCGAAACCTCCACAATCTGGCACCCAACCACTTCTCCTCTCTTGTTGCCCCCACTCTTCCATCTCCCAGTGTTGCGAGTCCCACATGCCAAAGACAGTGGCAAGTACGGGGTCAAAAGGTGAGCCATACTGGACTGGCTTGTGCGAGCAAAATCAGCCAGTCGACAGGAGCTGGGCTGCAGGTCAAAAAAACTGTGGTCAGAAACAAGGGTCACACAAGGGTCACAGGGACAAGAGGACAGAACTGGGCGAAGGGTCAGGAGACTGACCCCACCTCTTTGCCCCACCCCTGGCTTGGAAAGATGGGATTGGAGGAGAACAGAATGAAGACAAGCCCATCAGATCCAGAAGCCCTCTCGGGAACATTGGAGAGAAACTGAAGAATGCTGCAAAAGATGATGCAATGACCTGTGTTAAGAAGGAAAATGACACCAAATGTTTTGTGTTGAGCTACAAAGTGTGTATCTGGTAAATGACCCCATGACCTTAAGCTGGTCCAGGAAGGGTATATAAGAACAGCTCTGAACAGCAGATAGAGATTGAGAGATTCGACAGTAGTTGGGGCAGAGGACAGAGAGGAGAG